TTGTGGTCAGAGAGAATGCTTGATATAATTTCAATTTTTTTGAATTTGTTGAGGCTTGTTTTGAGATCTATCATGTGGTCTGTCTTTGGACATGTCTCATATCCACTTGAAAAGAATAAATACTTTGCTTCATTGGTATGAAAGGTTCTATATATATCAGTTAATTCCATTTGATCTAGGACATTGTTCAATGCTGCAATATTTTTGTTAATATTTTATTTGAAAGATTAACCATTTTTGACAGTGGGATGTTGAAATCCCCCATTATAATTGGGCTGCTGTCAATGTCTTTCTTGAAGTCCTCCAAGATTTTCTTTATGTATTTGGGCGCTGCTATGTTGGGTGCATATATATTTATGGTGTTTATGTCTTCATGATGGATTCTTCCTTCAAATATTAAGAAGTGACCTTCAGGGTGTCTTTTTATGGCCCTTTTCTTGGAAGTTTGTTTTTTCTGATATGAGTATTGCTTTCCTGGATTTTTTTTTCCTATCCATTTGCTTGGAATATTTGTTTCTAGACCTTCACTTTTAGTCTGTGTAGGTCTTTTGTTTTGAGGTGGGTTTCTTGTAGGCAGCATATGTGTGGGTCATGCTTTCTTAACCATTCAGCTCCTCTATGTTCTTTGATTGGAGTATTATATCCATTTACTTTGAAGGTTATCATTGATAGGTACTTATTCACTGCCATTTTTTTGTACCTGTGTTCCTCTCTTACTTTTTTTTCCTTTTCTTAATGGAGACCCTTTTGCTTCTCTTACAGAGTTGGTTTGGAGGAAGTGTATTCTTTGAGGCTTCTTTTGTCTGGGAAACTCCTTATTGTGCCTTCCATTTTAATTGAGAGCCTTGCTGGATAAAGTAGTCTCGGTTGTAGGCATTTGGTTTTCATTATTTGGGATATTTCTTGCCATTCTCTTCTGGCTTGGAGAATTTCTATTGAGAAATCAGCTGCTAGTCTTATCTGGGCTCCCTTTTATGTTACTTCCTGTTTCTCCCTTGCTGACTTTAAGATTCTCTCTTTGTCTTGGAATTTTGCCATTTTAATAATGATATGTCTTGAAGTGGGTCTCTTTGGGTTCCTCTTGATTCAAACTGTCTGTGTTTCCTGTATTTATGTGACTTTTTTTCTCATCAAATTAGGGAAGTTTTCCATCATTACTTTTTCAAACAAGTTTTCTATCCCTTTGTCTTCTTTTTGTTTCTCTGGTATCCCTATTGTATGGTTATTATTCTGTTTCATGTTGTCTTACAGTTCTCTTACCACCTGTTCATTCTTTATGAGTCTTTTCCCTTTTTTTGCTGTTTGTGGGGGGTTTTTCTATCTTGTCTTTCAGCTCACTGATTCAATCATCTACTTCATTCAACCTGCTTGTAATTTCTTCTAGTGTGTTTTTCATTTCTGAGATTTTATTGTTCATTTATTTTGGGGTTTTGTTTATAGTTTCTGTTTCCTTTTGATATTATTGTAGTTCTCACTCAGTTCCCTGTAGTTTTCTGTGAGTTCCTTGAGCATATTTATAACCATTATTTTGAATTCTATATCTGATAATTTGCTTACCTCCATTTCATTTAGTTCTTTAGTGGGTAGTCCTCCATTCCTTTGGATTGCAGGTTCTTTTTTTTGTCTCCCCATTTCAGGTGACTTTTTCTGTTTCTGCACTTCCTGATGTTTTGCTTGCTAGCTGTCTTTGAAGGGGACTTGTATGGTGGGAATTCTGTGGGATTCAGTTTGTGGTCTCTTTTATCATCTCCTTGTCTGGATGCTCTAGCTTCCCAGTTTCTTCTGTTTGTGCAGACTCTTTTGTTGTACTTGGGTTTTTACCTTTTGGTGGTTCCTTTGTTGGTGGTTTCTCTTGATGTTCTCTTGATGTTCTCTTGATATATTGATGTTTGCATCTCCCACCTATTTGGCAAGATAAGGAAAAGCTACTCAGGAAAAAACAATCCAGCCCACAACCTGATCTCAAAATTTGAGCTTCTAGAGCTAGGTTTTGTGTTCAATCCATGATAAGGAAGGGTATAGAAAAATCAAGTGATCAAAGTTCTCTCTCACATCGATGTTTTTGCTCTATCTCTCTTTCTCTGTCTCTTCCTCCCTCTTTGAGGTTACAGCAAGATGTGAGCAGAGTGGACTGGAGACACCTGAGGAGAGACTGAGGATAGAAGCTCTGGGGAGAAGTCAGCCCCCAAATAGACAAATTATTGCTTCTAATGAAAAAAAAACTTGTTGGTTTTTGCAGCTATTTTGTTTCCATCCACCTGTTTGAACACTATCATTAATAACAAATTTGTGTATATTATCTTATTCTTTCCAGAAAGAAAACTATATGTTATACTACTTTTATCTATCCATTTATAAAAATGTACCTTCTTTCTTTTATTTTTATATCATTTAGCAACAATTTGGAAAACAGCAGTAAGAGCCAATATCTCTGTTTTTTTTTTACTGCCCAATGATATTTTTTAAATTATTGTTTATGCTGTTACACTTGTCTCAGTTTTTAGCCCCTCTGCCCCCATCTGCCCAGCCCATCACCCACTTTTATAGTCAATCTACACACCATGTCCATGGGTCCTTCATATATGTTCTTTGACTAATCCCTTCAATCTCTTTCAAATAGTCCCCACCTCATCCCTTCCCTCTTACTGCTACTCTACGATTCTGTGCCTCTGGTTCTATTTTTCCCATTAGTTTACTTTGTTCATTAGATTCCTCTTATAAGTGATATCATATGGTATCTGTCTTTCACTGCCCTGCTCATTTCACTTAGCATAATAGTTTCCAGTTCCATCCACACTGTCACAAAAGGTAGGAATTCCTTCTTTTATTCTCCTATGTAGTATTCCTTTATGGAAATAGAGCATATTTTTTAATCCACTCATGTACTGATGGACACTAGGACTGTTTTTAACTCTTGACTATTATAAATAGTGCTGATATGAGCATAGAGGTGCATAGGTTACTTTGAATTGGTGTTTTGGGGTTCTTAAGGTATATTTCCAGCAGTGGAATCACTGTGTCAAAAGTTAGTTCCATTTTTTTTTTTCAGGCAACTCCATACTGTTTCCACAGTGGCTGCACCAGATCGCATTCCCACCAACAGTGCATTAGGGTCTCCTTTTATTTAAAAAAAAATATTGTTGTTCAAGTACAGTTGTCTCCATTTTCACCCCACCATGAGCCCCACCCTACCCATCCCCACTCCCACCTTTGAACCCACCCCCTTTGGCTTTGCCTATGTATCCTTTATACATGTTCCTTGATGGACCTTCCCCTATTTCCCCCCATTTCCCCTCTCCCTGCTTCCCTCTGGGTACTGTCAGTTTGTTCTTTATTTCAATATTTTTTGTTACATTTCGCTTGCTTTTTCTACACAGCCTTGTCAGTACTTGTTTGTTGATTTATTAATGGTAGCCATTTTGGAAGATATAAAATAATATCTCATTGTGGTTTTAATTTGCATCTCTCTGATGACTAGTGATGTTGAGCATTATTTATATGTCTATGGGCCATCTCTATGTCCTTCTTAGAGAAGTGTCTATTCATGTACGCTGCCCATTATTTAATTGGATTGTTTGTTTTCCTGGTGTTGAGTCATATGAGTTCTTCATATACTGTGGAGATCAAATCCTTGTCCAATGTATCACTGGCAAATATGTTCTCCCATATAGTCAGTACCCTTTCACTTTGAGGATGGATTCCTAGGCCATGCAAAAGCTTTTTAATTTGATGTAGTCCCATTTGTTATGTTTTCCTCTGTTTCCCTTGCCCCAGGAGATATATTTGCAAAAATATTGCTATGTGAGATACCTGAACTTTTACTACCTAAGTTTGCCACTAGGGTTTTTATGGTATCACCACTTATATTTAAGTCATTTACCCACCTTAATTTTATTTTTGTGTCTGATATAAGTAGGTGATTGAGTTTCATTTTTTTGCATGTACCAATCCAGTTCTCCCAACACTATTCATTGAAGAGATTATCTTTTTACTCCATTGTATGCTAGTGCCCCCTTTGTCAAATATTAATTGACCATAGAGACATGGGTTTACTTCTGGGCTCTCTATTCTGTTCCATTGACCTACATGCCATTACTAGACTGTTTTCTTTACAGTGTCCTTGTAGTATAGTTTGATACCAGATATTGTGATACCTCCTACTTTGTTCTTTTTCAATATTACTGAAACTATTTGGGTTTTGTTTTATTTTTTTGTTGTTCCAATTAAATTTTTGGAGTTTTTGTTCTAGATCTGTGAAATGTAGCATTGATATTTTAGTAGGAATTGTGTTGAATCTATAGATTGCTTTGGGTAGTATGGACATTTTAATGATTTTAATTCTTCCAATCCATGAACACGGTATATGCTTCCATTTATTTGAATCTTCTTCAATTTTTTCCTTTATCTCAGTTTAATTGAGTTTAATTTGAATACCTGAAGTATTGTACTTTTACTTATAATATTCTGTCAGTTTGAAATAAATATCTTTTGTTTAAGAATGTTTTCTTTCTAGATTACTGCCATATGATTTCACTTATATGTGAATTATAAAACTGAAAGCAACAAATGAGGAAACAAGGAAAACATACAAAAACTCATAGACACAGACAACAGTATGGTGGTTACCATAAGAGAGGTGATGGAGAGTAGAAAACGATAAAGAGGGTCAAACATATGGTGACAGAAGATGATTTGAGTTTGAGTGGTGGGCACACAATGCAATATAAGATCATGTGCCAGAAAAATGTACACTTGAAACCTATGTAATGTTACTAAGCAATGTCACCCCAATAAATTTAATTTAAAGTAAAAGTCTAGGTATTAGAAAAAAAGAATGTTAAATTCTAGTAACATATTCCTAGTGCATAAAATGAATATACTTGAAACTTGGCAGAATATTATATACTTCTTTTAACAATTCCAATGTTATTAATTTAAAAACTCTTTATTGACATTTCCTCCACTTGCTAACAATTTGAAAAGAACATGATATCCTTTACCTGTAAAGCTTGTTTCAGTTGTTCGTGAAGGACTTTGTTCTCAGTTTCCAGAGCGCAAGCTATTTTCTAGGAAGTAACATAAGAATTGATGGAGGAGTGTTCATTTTGGTACTTCTGTTTTGAATAATTTTTTCTTACAATTATTACCTTTATAAACTCCGTATGAAGAGCCAAGATGATGATTTAAGCATAAACGTTTACTACACACTTCTCAGGCATAATGGTGGAAAATTTATGTAGCTAAACCTTCCTATGGATTTTTCATATGCAAACTGACTTTGGATCTGGCAAATTATAACTAAATTAAATTAAACATTTTATTTCTAGATTACAAATGAACATTTAGAACCTCCAGCCAAGATGGAGACTTAGGTAGACATGCTGTGCCTCCTCGCACAACCAAAATAAGGACAACAACAATTTAAAACAAAATAACAACCAGAACTGACAGAAAATTGAACTGTGTGGAAGTCCAACAACCAAGGAGTTAAAATAGACACATTCATCCAGACAGGTAGGAGGAGCAGAGTTGGGCAGCTGGGTGGAGAGGGGTTGAGCAAAAATAGTGGTGGCACCAGGCATGCAAGACGGAAGGTGACAAACCCTGGGTGTACAAGATGGCAGCAGGCAGGCCCTGGGTGTGAGGTGGCAACGGGCACACCCAGAGAGGTGGCAATTGTAAAATGGGGCATGATGTGCAAGGTATCTGGCTGACCAGGTGGTCCCACATTCGCATGCACAAATAGACCAGGAGAAACTGAGGAGTGAGACAGATTGTGCAACCTAGGATCCCAGCATGGGGAAATAAAGCCTCAAAACACTCATTAAAAACACCTGTGGGGGTTGAGGTGCTGGGAGAAACTCCCAGCCTCATAGGATTGTCCCTTGGAGAGACCCATAGGGTACTAGAATGTACACAAGCCCACCCACATGGAAATAAGCACCAGGAAGGCCCAGTTTGCTTGGGGAGAGTGGCAGAAGGAACTGAAATCTGACAAAGAGTGGAACAAGCCCCATTGTTCCCTCTCGGACCTCGCCCCCACATACAGCATCACAAACCAACAACCTGGGTTGCCCCACCCTGGTGAACACCTAAGGCTGCACACCTCATACGTAACAGGCATAACAAGACAAAAAAAAAAAGCCTGAACAGCAAAACAGATCAAAGCTTCATAGCAAATACTTTTAAGTGACAAAAAGATAGCCAACCTATCATATGCACAGTTCAAAGCACTGGTGATCAGGATGCTCACAGAATTGGTTGAATTTGGTCACAAATTAGATGAAAAAATGAAGGCTACGCTAAGTAAAATGACAGAAAATGCACAGGGAACCAATAGTGATGGGAAGAAAACTGGGACTCAAATCAATGGAGTATACAGAAGGAAGAAAGAAACATCCAATCAGAAAAGAATGGAGAAACAAGAATTCAAAAACATGAGGAGAGGCTTAGGAAGCTCCAGGATATCTTTAAACATTCCAACATCCAAATTATAGGGGTACCAGAAGAGGAAGAGCAACAAGTGGAAAAATTACTTGAACAAATAATAAAGGAGAACTTCCCCAATCTGGCAAAGGAAACAGACTTCCAGGAAGTCCAGGAAGCACAGAGAGTCCCAAAGAAGTTGGACCCAAGGAGGAACACACCAAGGCACATCATAATTATATTAGCCAAGATTAAAATGAAGGAGAGAATCCTAGAAGCAGCAAGAGATAAGGGGACAGTTACCTACAAAGGAGTTCCCATCAGGCTGTTAGCTGATTTCTCAAGAGACCTTACAGGCAAGAAGGGGCTGGAAAGAAGTATTCCAAGTCATGAAAGGCAAGGACCTACATCCAAGATTTCTCTATCCAGCAAAGCTATCACTTAGAATGGAAGGGCAGATAAAGTGCCTCTCAAATAAGGTCAAATTGAAGGTATTCATCATCACCAAGCCCTTATTTTATTAAATGTTAAAGGGACTTATCTAAGAAAAAGAAGATAAAAAACATGTACAGTAAAATGACAGCAAACTCACAATTATTAACAACCATACCTAAAACAAAAACAAACTAAGCAATCAACTAGAACAGGAACAGAACCACAGAAATGGAGATTACATGGAGGGTTAGCAACAGGGGAGTGTGAGAAGGAGAGAGGGGGAAAAGGTACAGAGAAAAAATAGCATAGATGGTAGGTAGAAAATAGGGGAAAGGCAAGAACAGTATGGGAAATGTAGAAGTTAAAGAACTTATGACACATGGCCATGAACTAAAGGGAGGGAATGTGGGTGGGAAATTGTGTGCAGGGTGGAGGGGAATGAAGGGGGGAATGGGATAACTGTAATAGCATAATCAATAAAATATATTTTAAAAATATAAATGAACATTTAAAATTTTATGAAGAGAAGCAACTTTTTTCTTAACACAAAGTAAGTATAGTTCAGATTTTGTGAGTAGGAGTGGATTTGTTGCATCCAGCAAACACGAGAACAAATATCGGAGATTTCAGGGTATCAAAGATGTTGCTTTATTGGCCAAGTTTAACCTGAGCAGGGGCGAACTCTCAAAGTGTCTGGAGACACGATACCCACAAGGGCTGCAGACAAGAGTCACGCCAAGCACTTACAGCTAAGTCCTTATATAGGGGTTTTGGTGCGAGCAAGTGTTTTACAGAAGCTGATGTGGCAGTTAGCTATTTGCTTACAGAGATCGCGCGAGGGAACAGGGTAAAATTCAAACTTTTAAAACTAAACAAAGCATTGCTTATCTAGCATACCCAGGGGAGAACATCTGCATGACACAGGATGTTTGCTCAACTACATCCTGCACTCTGTCTCCCTTGTTAGTTCCTTTTAGCTACAATGCGGTTCCTGTTTACTAAGGTCACATTAAGTTCTTAATTTCCTTGTTCCCAACAGATTCTATTACACATTAAAGAGCTCAAGAATTCTTCACCAAATAAAAGACAGTTTGAGGAACCATACCTAAAGTCCCCCTTTCTCCTCTGGTATAGCATAGCAAATACCTACTGGACAAGCCGAGCCACACAGAGCCACAATAAACTATGAACAAAATACAAATATCAGTATTTGAAAGCAATGAAGAGTAATTAGATTCTTGAGAGAAGGTGACCAAGAGTAGTATTTTTGGTTCTTGACTCCTAGTCTGAGAGCAAGCCCTCTCTGAGCCAGGCAAGAACCTGATAACTGATAGAAAGCCTGAGTTGTTAGACCTTAAAAAAACAGGTAATAGAGTTCAGGGCAATATAGCACTGGAAAAGTTAGGGGAAAATCACACAAATTAGAGAACCAGAGACTGGGAACTGCAAACTGTGTAATCGCTCCCCAAATCTCCCTCTGATCCTTAAACCACACATGCATAGAGAAGACTCTAATGAGCCCAGAAAAAAAAGCTTAAAAAAATGCCATTCGAGCTCCTGCCTAAATACAGTATTTTTACTTTGCATCCAACCATGTGAGTTATGTATTAAACCAAAATAAACAAAAATAATACCAATCATCTGAAGAATATAGCAGAATTTAGTTTCAACATGATATTCCAAATATCCAGAATAAAATTTAGAACTATTTGACATTTGAAGAAACAGAAAATGATTCTTACTCTTAAGATAAAAGATAATCTACAGAGAGTGATCACAACATAGTCCAGATTTTAAAATTAGCATTAAAAATCTTAACGCTTTTCAAAATGGCAGCAGATTAGGTAGATCTTGTATTTACCTCCTCCCAAGACCAAACTGAAATTACAACTAAATTGGGAAATGATTACATGAATAATCAACTAAAAACTAGCTGAAAAGGAGTCTTATAACCTGAAATCTGCAGAAGAATCCACATTGAGACTGGTAGGAAGAAAGGAAATGCAAAAAGGGCTGGCCCCACTCCCACAGGCAGTGGCTGAGGTGCTAGAAGGATATCTCGGCTGCAGAAGGATCCCCCTGAGAGGCACAGGGCCTGAACCCTAAGCCAGGCTTCCAACCCAGAGCATGAAATCCTTAAGAGGTTCCCATATAGCATCTGGCTATGAAAAGTGACAGTGATTCTGTTTGCCAAGGAGAGACAAAGTTCATTGGAGACCCAAGCAACCTGTTAAATGGTCAACACACAGAATTTCATTCATAGCCACTTGTTCTGGGCTCAAGCAGTTGGAGGACAGTGTACAGAGGGCTACCTGAGGAGAGTCTGGGTTTTTTGGTTCTGGAAAGAGAGGTGAGGAGACAGCCACCAGGATCCTGTACTGAGCCATTCTTGGATACCACAGTCACCAAAATTCCTAGGCAAAAATAATCCCCTCCAAGCTACATCAGCCTGGAGGAAAGAAATTTCCTCACCCTCTGAAATCCCTTTTGCCACACATAGCAAATCTTAATTTGAGCCTGGCTGAGGAATCAGCAGCATAAGCCAGGACATAGTAGTCTGGGCAGACTCAAAACATATTTTTAGTCAGGGCCATTTCCCCTATTTCCCTGTGAACATGACTGATGTTTCCTCCTTACAGGAGATCTAATAGAAACCACCTCTTTGATTCTGGAAGACCCGCCCACTGGGCCCCAGAGACCCCACCCACCTGACTACTGGGGTCTCACCCTGCTGAGATCAGAGAGAAATCTGGGACAGACTTAGTCATGTGGCTCTGAGGTAGGGGATCATACTCACTACTTTCCCTGAAGTCTGGATGACACCTTCCCTCACTGGAGGTCCAATAACCTCATCCTCCTGATTCTGTCAGGAGCTCTATCAGACCCTGAGCTTGATAGGCAGCCAGAAGGCAGAGGCAGGAAGAGGCAAATTCTGAGGCACCTTGAAATACTTGCTGATGCACCCCCAGGCCTGGTGCTCATAAAAGCTGTACTTTGGAACACAGCTTTGTCTTTCCCGTGTGTAACAAAGCCCAGCAGAAACAGCTACAAACTGTGGATCACTAACCGTGAATCACTTATGGCTTTAAGCAGGTTGCCAAGGGCCAGGCATGGACACATCTGATACTGGCCTGAACTGGAGTCTCTCCCAAAAATCCCAAGACCAACACACCAAGTAGCTAGATTCAGACAATATTGGAGCAGG